TTGAACATTTACAGTTATATTTCAGAGAGGTATGGGGAAGCACAATGAGTAAGTACAAATGTTCAGTCTATTATCTTGGATCAGAGAGCTAACCAAACATTTTAGAGCCCACTGAGTTAACAGACATTTCATAATTATGAGAAAACAAATACATTTCTCAAGACCCAAAATATTTGACTGTAAGTCAAGAGTATTGTAGTTAAGCAATATTTATTTATATAAGTAGAGGCCCCGTGCATGACATTGGTGCACTGGGAGATGGGTCCCTCAGCCTGGCCTGTGCCCTCTCACAGTACAGTTCCCCTCGGGGGTCCTTAGCGCTGCTGCAGAGGTAGGAGAGGCTCCTGCCACCACTGCTGCACTCGCCAGCTGTGAGCCCACTGGTGAGCGTGGCTTCTGGCTGAGCAGTGCTCCCCCTGTGGGAGCACACTGACCACTAGAGGGCAGCTCCTGCGTTTAGCATCTGCCCCCTGGTGGTCAGTGTGTGTCATAGTGACTGTCGTTCTGCCGTTTGGTCAGTTTGCATATTAGCCTTTTATTATATAGGATTACTGAAGCTTGCAGTGTAAGCTTCTTTGAGAAACACCCTATGTCCTCTACATCTTTGAACCCATAGTGCCTAATGCAGTGCTTATCTCATAGCATGGCTCAATAAGTAGTTGCTGAATAAATGCAACGTTAGCAGGAGTTCTTGAAGCAATCCTCTTGCTTTATTTTATTCTGATCATATTCATGCTAGAATATAGTTCTTATTTAGTTTCCATTTTAGTTGGAAAATAGAGAAATTAGATGAAATAAAAGTAAAAGAAACAAGTTTAGATTAGGGGTTCCTACTGCTGTTGTGTCAAGTAAAACATTTTCTCTTCAGGTAGAGCTTTGCAACTGATTGTGGGGGAGAGGGAGACCTATTGAGGTTCAGCTTAGGGGGGTTGAGAAAAGGTGGAGAAGGAGGCAATAAATTTGAAAAAAAGGAGCTGACCACAAAATCTAAACCATTTTTATCTGTCTTCCTTTCCACCAGAATTTCCCAAAGAAGTAATCAGTATGACCTCCATGTCCTCTTCTTCCCTTCCCACACTTCCACATACATTCAGGTCTTCAATTCTCACAAATTACATACATGGACCACAGAAATGGAAATTGGACCAAAGTGTAAATTTAATGTATGGAATAAAACAGGATCTAAGACTCTGATTACAACAAAGTTTTAGAGCTCCAGGATAAACTCTTGATTAATAAATAAAGATGCAAGAGGCAGAATTGTTTGTTTGAGACAAAATAAGATGACATTAGTACCTTAGCTCTCTTTAGCTGGAGAACTACTTTGTAAATGGTGCTAAATAGGCACTTATTCCTTCCACAAAAGGACTAATTTTGGGGGTTTTTTAGTGTCAAATATCTGAAACTGTTCTGGGGCAAAGTAGTTACAATGATGAACAAACTTGTCCATACTTGAGAAGTTTAAAGATTAGTGGGGAATACAGACAAGTTAACAGCCATCTACAAGAAGGCATGATAAATCTTATTATGGGATGATCACAGGTGCTATGGGAACATAAACTGGAACATGTTTTTAGTGAGGGGTTAGGAAAGTGTTCCCAAGGGAAGTGACATGTTCTCTGAAATCTGAAGAATTAATACAAATTATTCAGGGAAAAGTTTACAGGAAGTCTTCATGGGAAAAGAAAAGAGAATCATGCAGCAGAGAGAACGGCCTTGATGACAGAGAAGAAAGAGTTACAAAGTCCTCCTAGGAATGTATTATGGTTGGACATCATTTGTGAAGTAGAGGGTGCTGGGTAGACAAATCAGAAAGGGACTTATGCCCCACATCAGAGAGCTGAACTTGACCATAAGGGCAAAGTGGAGGGTGATGACACAGTTGATAGTAGGATGCTTCAGAGTCTGATTCTCATTTTGGAAAGATCTCTGGCTATATTATGTGGAATGTATGAAGAGATGAAAATGACTGAGCATTTTGTGTTGGGAACTCAGGTAGGAGTCTGGGCAGTAACCTCAGAAAAGAGGGGAGTGACCCCAGACTAAAACATTAGGGGTAGATTAGAAAGAAGTGACTGGAATCCATTTGAAAGATATGTCTGTGGCAGATCAACAAGATTAGGGGAAAGAACCTAAAGCTGCATGTTAAACAAGCTTTTCATGAATCCAAGACTCTAAAATGTTTTCATGAATCCAAGACTCAGCTGTTCACTGTGGAGTCTCCTTATGGGTTCTTCCTATTTCTAGCCTGTTCTTTTGCCTTCACATCTATCATTGTTGAGTCTCCTCTGCTCTTTTAACAACTGAGGTCCACTCCCCATCTTCCCATACATCCTGGAGGACTGATCTCTCCTATCTCCTTCCTACCTACCTCAATCCTATACATGGCCCAAAGTCTAAGACATTCCTTATGGAGTGGCTTCCTGAGGGCTTCCATTAGAAAGGCAATGATAGCCCTCGACTTCCCAGGGCCTTTGGAAGAGCTGATGGCAGATGAGGGAATGGAGGAGGGACTTCCAAGCAACTGGTCACTTTTAAAATCTCACGTCCCTCACCTACTCTTGATTTATTCTACAGATGGTCCATCAGTCACTGCTGAAATAATTACATGTGTGGATATACACACACATAAAATGTTTAAACACACACACACACACACACACACACACACACACACACCCTCCCCAAAGATTAATTAATTCTCAAAGATATATAGTATATAAAATGATAAGAAAAAAGCTAAACATTTTCTTAACTACCTCATAATTTGCAGGGCACCTCTCTTATACAATAGATTCAGTGTTTTATTTCTTCCTCAGCTTTCAAATTATCCGTCTTCTGTCTTGGCAGGAATAAGAAAGGGCTTGTTGCCGAGTTGTAACACTTCTTCGTGGTCACTTTCTAGATATCCAAACACCCATTCAAAGCTGTGAGGTTACTTGAACGAAAGAGTTCATTAAATTCTTAATAAACATTCATTTGCCTCGGCCATGGTCGGCAAACTGCGGCTCACGAGTCACATGCGTCTCTTTAGCCCCTTGAGTGTGGCTCTTCCTAAGCCTTAGGAGGCTCTGTTGACTAATGAGTTTGCCGACCACTGGCCTAGGGTAAAGAATAGTAGGTAGTTTTATTGTTTCAGATATATCTATCTGTCTGTAGCATTCTTCTAGCTGACTAATAGAAACTGTTTAGTAACAGTGCGATACTGTGGAAAGGACACTGAGTAAAGTAAGACTGTGCCTCAAAAATGCTCATTAAAAAAATAAAATAACATTTTTAAAATGTTCATTAAATGCCTGATGCTGAGCATATCTTTTCATTTCTCTGAACCTCAGTTTCCTCATCAGTAACTGATGGGTAACATGGGTTTGTATGTTTGTTTTCACAATTTATATTGAGTGCATATTCAGTATATGAAAGTAGCTGACATATAGTGAGTGTTCAAAAACATATTATCTTTAATTCGTGGTTAAAGTTAGAAATCATCTGATACAGCCATTAGTTTTTGTAAATAAAATGCTGAAGCACAGAGAGGTGTAAGGCTCACCCACTCCCACAAAGTGGCAGAGTCAGGAATAGATGCCAAGTCTCCTGATTCTTGCTCCATGTTCTTTCCATTACACCTCCTGGGGTGAGACTGGAGTGTGTGATTAAAGCGACGAAGCCTTTCACTGCAGAATCTGTGCCCCAAGGACGTGTTCCCCTTCCCCAAATGTCTAGGCTAATGCCAGTTCTTTTCAATGTCCATGTGGCTTTGCCTTGAATGGAAAAGATTTTTTCCAGCACCACCTATCCTATTATTCTGTTTTGAAAGAGTAATCTGTCAGGGACATCAAACATTAAAAGCAGTGGGAACATTCTGAGGTTTGTCGTGTGTATATTTTTTCTCACCGATTAAATCTTCACTCCTCAGCTACCAGACAAAAGGGAGGGAAAGCTGTCCCCCTCCTCCCCTAAAAGGAGAAAAGCTTTTAAAACAGTTGGCAGAATCCACTATTCAAAGTGGAAAAATAAAAATTTCAAGCAACAGCAGATGAAAAAGGCAAAAGTACACATGTGTTCAGGATAAAGTTTGTTTTCTCTTGGGCTAAAATATTGCTGCTTCATGATTCTAAGCTATTATCATTAGAGCCAGACTGTAGCTAGCGATTTTATCAACACAATTCAATGCTTTCCCTAGCTTACTATAATTAGGAAAATAGAGGGTAAGTTTTAAGCTGATCTCATCAAATAACAAAAAAAACACACAAAACAACACCTGGCATTGGTAAACGTACAGTTTTTCTAAGTGGCAGAGTAAATAAGGAATTGGTACGCAAGACTCAAAGTTTCTTCTTTATCCACAGCTGATTCGTGGATTGAGATTATCACCAGGACTTTGATATGCTCACCTAGGAAATGACAACCAAAAAGGGCCTGGCTCTTAGGTGTCTCACCACCACCTCAAATTCAATACATTCAAATTAAAATTCAGTATCTTTCTCTCCTCCCCCAACTTATTCTCCCCCCAGTATTCCCAGTCTCAGCAAAAGCACCACCAATCACTGAAGACATCAACTTATTCTTTCCCCCATCTTCTACCTTCCTCCCATCCCAAACGATCTCTTAAGCCCATTTTTAAATCCCTGAAGTGAGTCTGGAGTCCACTGCCACTGTGTTCATTCTGATTGTCATTGTCTCTTAAACTATTGGCACTTGGATTTGATGAATTGTTCCCTTGGAATCTGCTGCTATAAACCTCCAATCCACATTTGTTATGGCAAGCCAAATTACTATTGTAATATAAAAAGCTAATGATGGTTTAAATCTTTCTATAGCTCCCTGTTGCCTAAATAAAGCCAAATTTTTCATCTGGTCTGGAAGATTTTTCTCAGTATAATCTCAATCCACTTTCCAATCTCCCTCATCATTATGACCATGTAGTTGAAGTGTCAACTGTCCCCAAAGTACTCAGGTTCTCAAAAAACAAACAAACCTCCTTGTTATACTGTACCTTCTCCTCATAAGTCCTACCTTTGAACCCCATCATTGTCCCCCGGGAAACTTTCTCCTTAATCTGAAAGACAAATTCAAATGCCACATCTCAGTCAAGTTTCCATTTTATTCCCCAACAATCTAGTTGAGTCTTTGTATTTCCATACCATAGTTAATAAACTGTAGTTATACCAATCCCAGTATATTATGATTATTTTCTTACTAAGAAACTCTCTGATACATTAGATTGGACCTTCCTTGTACCTCCAGTTTCTAATATAATGTCCAACACAACAGTGTTTGTGATTCAAACTAATTATCCCTCCTGTAGTGATAATAAATATGAGTAATTTTCATGTATAATCGCATTAAACTTCCAGCTATAAGAAAAACAGATTGGTTATCAAGCAATATACCATGACTGCTAAATATATAAAATGTAAATTACATAAGAGCACTGTTTCCATGTATCCGTCAGGCAGTAGGTTGAGCAGATCATGTAATAAGCACAGGACAAAGTCAACTTGGTACTTACAAGAGCTTAAAAAAGAACGTTGTAATGTAAAGCCAATGACCAAAGAAAGCAAAAGTGCTTTTTTAAAAATGAGAACCTGCAAGATCTTTGCCTTGGAGTATATAAGAGGACACAGTCAGGGAAGGACACAGTTCAACTCAAAGAAAGAGTCAATGTTCGAGGGCAACCAAGTGGACAGAATGGTAGCCAAGGGTGTTTTATAGCACTGTGAGATAGCGTTGGACAGTAGATGTTGTAATCATCGCTATCTTGTTTGGAGCCTTTTAATATCTGCAGCCATCTGGAGATGTTAAAAGCTCTCAAAACAGCCACTATTTGAAAGTATGCCTAAAAGGTAGAGAAGTGATTGAGGAAGAATTGCAGAAAGTCATTTTGAAATGGACAGCCTGGATTTAAATCCCAGCGCTGAACTCACTACCTCTGTTAACCTTTGGCAAGTCCCTTTAACCGTTGCTCTAAGATAGGACAGGACCTACTTCAGAAGATCGCAAGAGTTATTCAAGCGGAGAGTGCCTGGTGTGGAGTAAGCCCCTATTAAATGTTACCTGCTGTTATTTGTGGACATTATTGTATTATTATGGCCCATAGTGAGACTAAGGAGCTAACTGCATGTTGTCAGCTGTCCCTGCCACTGCTGTGACCCCCTGATAGTTTAAACTGATAGTTTAACTTACCTCGTTCAGTAGGTTCCTCCACTTCCATGAAAATCCTCTAAATGGTTCAGAGAAAAAGAACAGAAACCTAAACTCAGCTGAGTTCATTTTTCTTCTCTCTCCAAAAGTCCCAAAAACACAGCCTTGCTATTGTCATTCTCCTATATGTGATTGAAAATACACATTTGCTGGAAAAATCAAATCTAAATATCTGTGGCTAACAGGTGTCCCTACAGAAGCCTGATGCAAACAGAAAAATCAAGTAATAATCATGATGTTTGTTTGGGTGGTAAAGTAGAGTTTAGTTGAGGACATCTGGTAAAACTTGCAAAACACTACCTGGGGAAGCAGACAGGAGAAAATCACAGGGGAAGAAAATGACAACTCTATCAAAGATACCTACAAGTTGAATAGATCAGGTCTAAGTTTAGGTGCGTGAGGTTGACAGGATATATAAGGACACATGAGAGCATTAATTTATCTGACCAAAGTTAAATAAAGATCAAGGCCGAGCCCTAGCTGATTTGGCTCAGTGTATACAGTGTCAGCCTGCAGACTAAAGGGTCCAGGGTTCAAGTCTAGTCTAGGGCACATGCCCGGGTTGTAGGCTCAATCCCCAGTAGGGGGCATGAAGGAGGCAGCCAATCAATGATTCTCTCTCATCATTGATATTTCTATTTCTCTCCCTCTCCCTTTCTCTCTGAAATCAATAAAAATATATATTTTTTTAAAAGATCAATGGTTGGAAATCCTATATAATAAAAGCCTAATATGCAAATTGTCCCCTCGATGGGGAGTTTAACTTCTCTCTATGACATGTGCTGACCACCTGGGGGCAGCGCAGAACATGGCAGGCATTGACAACACGGCGCTGGCAGCGGGCAACAGTGGAGGTGCTGCCAGCCCCCATGGGCCCTGACAAGAGTGGGACCACAGTGGGATGGTAGAATAGGTGAGCGGGTGGTGCCAGGCCAAGGCAGATGTGAGCGGGGCCTACTGGACCCACCGATCACCCTGCAGATGGCAACCAGTGGCGGGGCACCACCCGGCTCCCAGTGGGGGCCTGATGACTCAGGCGGAGGGGAGCGCAAGGGGACCTGGGGGCCCAGGTGCTGCCCAGGGCCCAGAGGTCAGCTGGGACCTGCCCTTCCACGCCAGATGGTTGCGCTTCAATTGCCAGCCAGGCCTAGGGACTGCACCCATGCACAAATTTTGTGCACCAGACCTCTAGTGTTTATATGCATGTGGAATTCTGTGGTACATCCATGCTTTGCTTTGACAATCAGATACTTGTGTAATTTGACTCCCTGGAAGTAAATAGCAGTAACTTATGACTCATGACATAATTGCTTTCATCCAAACATCAGAGTTTGACAGTTGCATATAGTAAGTATTAACACCTGCCTCTTAGGGACATTGTGATAATTAGTGTTTTCAACAATGTTTTGAACTGTAGAAAGCAAGAAACAACTGTAGGGTGATGTGTTATGATTAACAGAACAACTATTATTTATTTTTCTTATAATCAAGGTCATCTAGTCCCAGTGGCTCCTTTTAACGTACCTATTTAAGAATACCTTGATATTCCTCAGCCAAATAAAAGTTTCCAGACAATGGAATTCTTCCCTAAATTCAATCTAAAATCAATATGTTCCAAAATAATTCATGCCTCCTAAACACATTGAGGTCTGGTTTTTGCATCATTATCCATAACATTCTTATTGCTAAATCCATCTAAATACTTCTTAATCTTCACAGCATTTGACATGGTTGACCACTACTCTCTTTCTTTAGCCAATCTTTTTAAAAATATGTTATTTACATGAAAGCATTATAAATGAATTCTTTTCCTTCATCTCAAGTTTCCAAAATTTAATGATTCTTTTTAGGTGACCGCCATATCATATTTTTATGGGTTTGGTGCTGTTTTGGAGGTTCTCTTTTGTTCATCCGTGCCATAGTTTTTGTTTGTTTTCTCGCCTAGGCCCTGTTCTTTGCTTTCTAGACTCCTTGCTGCTGAGCAGTATCACACATTATGTGATTTCATATGAGAACCACAGACGGCTAAAGGAACTCAAATAGGACCTAGTCATTATAAAGGGGGTACTGTGGGATAGGTGGTATTTGAGTTGCTTCCTTAAAAATATGGTAAAAGAGGGCCATATGAAGTTACTAGTATAACACTGAATTTGTGTTTGTGTAAATTATATCTCTTATCCTATGGTCTATTCCAGCTTATTCTTTATAAAAGAAATGATTTCCTCTGAAGGAAGTTTGTTAGTTTTTATTCTAGTATCTCAAATCTAAATGAAGCTCATTTTTTTTTTTTTTTTGGCATCATGGCCGCTTCAGGCAGCCAAATCTTCCACCAAACATGTGATTCTATAAATGGTCATTGTCTCTTTGGAGCCATGTCCATGAAGATGCAGGCATTATCTAAGTGTATTACACAGTATTGTGGGGGCTCCTGGTGACAGGAGCGATCGTGAGTCATGTTACCGGCATCAGGCAGGTCGAGCACGCCGCAGAGCGGGTTGTGTTGATCTTGATCGATGCTCCATTTGGTGATGAAGTCTTTCCGGGTCATGGATGGATCTGCTGACCGGACGTGAGTGTGATGGACCCAGGTCACAACGCCGTCTACCTTGAAAGCGGTGGGGGTCGTCAGCACCACAGTGTAGGGACCCTTCCAACGTGGTTCGAGGGTCTCCCGATGGTGCCTTCTGACGTAGACCCAATCCCGCCAAATGTCCTCGTGCAGCCTCTGGAGCCCTCTCAAGGAAAGAGATTGTTAAAGAAAAGCCACCCAGTCCTCGCCAGTCTCCGAGTCAGATTCCTCCTCTCTTGGAGAACTTCAAAGTCCTGATGGCTTCTAGGTAACCCTGTTTATCAGTTACAGAGCTCTGCTTTTTTGGCTTTCTACCAGTTCCCTTTGTGGCAGAGCAGCAACCAGGCCTCTTTCAAGGGAGTGTGCTAGAAGTGGGCATCAGCCCCTCCTTAGCTAGCAGCAACAGGTACCAGTACCAAACCCTTTCAGTACATTTGACCAGCTTCTAAATGAAGCTCATTTTAAAGAAAAAGATGCTCAACTTATTCCTTGCATTAAAATGTGTTTATCTGAATTCAATAAAGCATCAAATTGAAAAGTTATGTGACTTCCTTAGACCATAAGTTTTTTCAAAGAAAAATTCTTATGATTGCAGAGTAGATTCTTCCATTTGGAGAAAAAAGTGCACTTTATTTGTATTTCTCATATTTAAAAAAAAATGTTGAAGCCAAAAATTACACACCTTTATTTTTTAATCTTCACCTGAGGATATTTTTCTATTGATTTTTAGAGAGAGTGGAAGAGAAAGGGAAAGACAGAGAGAAACATCGATGTGAGAGAAACACATCGATATCAACTGGTTGCCTCCTGCACGCACCCCGACCAGGATCTGGGCCAGGGAGGAGCCTGCAACGGAGGTACATGCCCTTGACCAGACTCAAACCCTCCCTTCAGTCTGCAGGCCAATGCTCTATTGACTGAGTCAAACCAGCTGGGGCTACACAACTTTTTATAGTAAGAAGTTTAACTTATAAACACGATTTTCAAAATATTAATATTTTAACAGAATTCTTTT